CTATGCCAGTAATTATACCATTGGTAAAGTAATTATACCATCAGTAGATGTAATTCTACCAATAATTATACCATTAGTAATGTATTTATACCAGTAATTATACCATTAGTAGTGTAATTATACCATTAGTAATGTAATTAGACCAATAACTATATCATGAGTAATATAATTATACCAATAACTATACCATTAGTAATATAATTATACCATTAGTAATGTAATTATACCAATAACTATATCATGAGTAATATAATTATACCATTACTAATGTAATTATACCAATAACTATATCATGGGTACTATAATTATACCATTCCTAATGTAATTATACCATTGGTAATGTAATTATACCGATAATTATACTATTAGTAGTGTAATTATACCATTACTAGATGTAATGACACCAATGACTATACCATTTTCACTGTAATTATACCATTACTAGATGTAATGACACCAATGACTATACCATTTTCACTGTAATTATACCATCAGTCCATGTAATTTTACCAATACTTATACCATTAGTAATGTAATTATACCAATAACTATACCATTAGTAATGTAATTATACCATTGGTAATGGAATTATACCGATAATTATAACATTAGTAGTGTAATTATACCATTACTAGATGTAACTAAACCAATAATTATACCAATAACTATACTATTATTAAATGTCATTATACCATTATTAGATCTAATTAAACCAATAATTATACCATTGGTAATGTAATTATACCGATAATTATAACATTAGTAGTGTAATTATACCATTACTAGATGTAATTAAACCAATAATTATACCATTGATAATGTAATTATACCATCAGTAGATGTAATTATACCAATAACTATACTATTAGTAAATGTCATTATACCATTATTAGATCTAATTAAACCAATAATTATACCATTAGTAATGCAATTGAACCAATAATTATATCATTAGTAATGTAATTATACTAATAATTATACCATCAGTAGATGTAATTATACCAGTAATTATACCTTAAGTAGATGTAATCATACCAATAGTTATACCATCAGTAAATGTAATTATACCATCAGTAGATGTAATTATACCATCAGTAGATGTAATTATACCATCAGTAGATGTAATTATACCATTAGTAGATTTAATTATACCTTAAGTAGATGTAATCATACCAATAGTTATACCATCAGTAGATGTAATTATACCATCAGTAGATGTAATTATACCATTAGTAGATTTAATTATACCTTAAGTAGATGTAATCATACCAATAGTTATACCATCAGTAGATGTAATTATACCAATAATTATACCATTAATAATATAAATTAGGATATCATGCAAATTCTTATCAAAGTTTTTATTTAAATTAAATACTGCGATATTGTTACTAAAATTCAAATGAGACTCTGTGTGTTTCTACAACAGACAGTTGTTGTCCATTCTATTAAGTTTCATCATGAATACTCTGCCTAATCAACCTATTAAAGAATAAAATTGAAGAATTTACATAAAGTTCACTTGTAGCATGAACCACGAAAATAGCTAACTTAACAAAGTGTGCAGTGACAAAAATATGTTGGAAACACTTATTTCACATGACTTGTCACTTAGAAAGAACACTCATTTCATATGACTGGTCACTTATAACAAACACTCGTTTCATATGGCTGATCACTTATAACGAACACTTTATTCATATGACTTGTCACTTATAACAAACACTCGTTTCATATGACTGGACACTTAAAACAAACATTTTTTTCATATGACTGGTCACTTATAACGAACACTTTCTTCATATGACTGGTCACTTATAACAAACACTTTCTTCATATGACTGGTCACTTATAACTAACATTCGCTTTATATGATTGGTAATTTAAAACTAACACTCACTCGTATGACTGGTTACTTATAACAAACACTCGGTTCATATGACTGGACACCTAAAACAAACACTTTTTTCATATGACTGGTCACTGATAACGAACACTTTCTTCATATGACTGGTCACTGATAACGAACACTTTCTTCATATGACTGGTCACTTATAACAAACACTTTCTTCATATGACTGGTCACTTATAACTAATATTCGCTTTATATGATTGGTAATTTAAAACTAACACTCACTCGTATGACTGGTTACTTAGAACAAACACTCGTTTCATATGACTGGTCACTTAGAACATACACTTGCTTCATATGACTGGTCACTAAGAACACTCGCTCATATAACTGGTCACTTAGAATGAATACTCACTTATATAACTGGTCACTAAGAATGAACACTCGCTTCACATGACTGGTCACTTTGAACGAATGCACGGCAAAAATAGAGAGCACTGAAAGAGTTTCACTGAAATACGTTAAAGGGAAAACTAACTTCGAGGGTGTAATTGTAGTTTTACTGAAATACGTTAAACTAACTTCGAGGATGTAATTGTGGTTTTACTGAAATACGTTAAACTAACTTCAAGGATGTAATTGTGGTTTTACCGAAATACGTTAATCTAACTTCGCTACAATTACATCCTTGAAGTTAGTTTAACGTATTTCAGTAAAAGAGGATGTAATTGTAGTTTACTGAAATACGTTAAACTAACTTCAAGGATGTAACTGTGGTTTTAATGAAATACGTTAAACTAACTTCAAGGATGTAATTGTAGTTTTCTCAAATATAGATGAAACTAGAGGACTTTTTGACTTTTTTCAGTGTGTCCCTCTAACTTGGGATGACCATCCCAATATCCATACATTTTTCCTAACAACAAATGCCGCTATGTGGGCTAGCCTGATCGCAGCCCATAGCCTCGATCCCGGGTTTCTACCACGAAACACCAACGAATACCACCAAACAATACGCCAGATAACAAACTTAGAAAAGTGGCGTGAAGATCGTAATCCTGTTTTCCGTTTGTGCCACACTTGCCGAACTGTTCGTCCACTGAGGGCCAAACATTGCCGCGTCTGTAACCGGTGTGTCCTGCATTTTGACCACCACTGTCCATATATTTACAACTGCGTTGGGCTTTATAATCGGTAAGTACTGCTTACCTTTACTTTAGAGTGAACTTGTTGCGATGTTTTAAAAACCCTATTTATTTTTAGGGGTAAAGAGCCTTGATGTTGTTAGGGTAAAGTCACTTGGTGTTGATAGGGTAAAGTGACTTGGTGTTGACAGATGTAAAGCCTCTTGATGTTATTAGAGTAAAGTGACTTGATGTTGATAGGGGTAAAGCCGCTTGATGTTATTAGGGTAAAGTGATTTGGTGATGTTAGGGTAAGAAGACTTCATGTTGATAGTGTAAAGTGACTTGATGTTGATAGGGGTAAAGCCGCTTGATGTTGTTAGGGTAAAGTGACTTGATGTTGATAGGGGTAAAGTCGCTTGATGTTATTAGGGTAAAGTGATTTGGTGATGTTAGGGTAAGGAGACTTCATGTTGATAGTGTGAAGTGACTTGATGTTGATAGGGATAAAGCCGCTTGATGTTGTTATGGTAAACTGATTTGGTGTTGTTAGGGTGAAGTCTCTTGGTGTTGTTAGGGTGAAGTCACTTGGTGTTAATAAGGGAAAGTCACTTAATGTTGTTAGGGTATAGTGATTTGGTGTTGATAGGGTGAAGTCACTTGGTGTTGTTAGGGTAAAGTTATTTGGTGTTGTTAGGGTGAAGTCACTTAATGTTGTTAGGGATAAAGTGATTTGGTGTTGATAGGGTGAAGTCACTTGGTGTTGTTAAGGTAAAGTTATTTGGTGTTGTTAGAGTAAAATCACTTGATGTTGTTAAGAGGAAACCACTTGATGTTGTTGGGGTAAAATGATTTGGTGTTCTTAGGGTAAAGTGATTTGGTGTTGTTAGGGTGAAGTTACTTGGTGTTGTTAGACTAAAGTGATTTGGTGTTCTTAGGGTAAAGTGATTTGGTGTTGTTAGGGTGAAGTTACTTGATCTTGTTAGGGTAAAGTCATTTGGTATTGTTAAGATAAAGTGATTTAGCGTTGTTATGGTAAAGTCATTTGATGCTGCTAGTGTAAAGAGCCATGATGTTGATAGGGTGAAGTCACTTGGTGTTGTTAGGGTAAGGTTATTTGGTGTTGTTAGGGTGAAGTCACTTGGTGTTGTTAGAGTAAAGTCACTTGATGTTGTTAAGAGGAAACCACTTGATGTTGTTAGGGTAAAATGATTTGGTATTGTTAGGGTGAAGTCACTTGGTGTTGTTAGGGTAAAGTGATTTGGTGATGTTAGGGTAAGGAGACTTCATGTTGATAGTGTGAAGTGACTTGATGTTGATAGGGATAAAGCCGCTTGATGTTGTTATGGTAAACTGATTTGGTG